CCCGCAGGTGCCCCCGGTGCACCTGGGCCAGGGGCTGCCGGCCCGGGCACCGCCGCCACCGCCGCCGCCTCCTGCTGCTGCTGCTGCTGCTGCTATCATCCCCACCCAGCGGGGCACCCCCGGGTGCTGCTGGCATCGCCCGGGCAGCCCCTGCTACCTGCATGCGCCCCCCTTGTCCGGTCCCACCTGCCCCGCGGGGAGCCCCGGAGCAAGAGCAGTAAGCTCCCGCGGAGCGAATAGCAACAGTAGCAACAAGGGATAGTTGTTACCATGAATCACACCCGCACCAAGAGTTGTTACAAGGAATAGTAACCTTCCTCAGGATAGCGGCGGCCGGGGCAAGGATGCCTGCGAGAAGCACCGGAGCCCCATCACGATGGCCAGGATAATAATCGCAGCAGCCGTGGTGACAGCAGTAAGCAGAATCATGGGCAGGGCAGTAATAATAATGATGGGAACTGGAACAATGACAATAGCCAGAACAATAATAATGGCAGGCACGATGACAGGAGCAGCAATAATAGCGGCCACCACGATCACGATGCTAATATGGATAATAGTAGTAATGGCAATAAGAATGGCAGTAGTATTGATACAAAAATAAGCATGGCAGTAATAACCCCCCCACCCAGCAGGAGTATTAATAATAAAACACCTAGCAGCTCCTAGGGGCGTGCAATCTGTTCCCCGGCCAAGAGCGGCCACCGACCTGCTGGTCTGCTCGGGGCATTGGACAAGCAGGTTCATGCCACCCCCTTCAAGGCATGTTTACAAACGTCACAGAAAAACCGGGTGAGACGCGGACAGGCCAAGTGCAACCGTGACTTCATGAGAAGAGGAGGAGCAGATGGATGCGGGACCCAGGGCAGGAGACAGTGCTCCCACCTACAGGGTAACAGGGATATCTCCTCACAAGCTGACGGATAATGCAGCCTTGCATAGAGCTGGTCTGGAAATGTTCTGTGTTTCTGCCAGAGTTTCTCCCAAACCCAGACTTTATTTTTCTCATCAAACCCCTCGGTTGACAATTCTGGGGGTTTCAGCTAGACAGCTGCAAAGGTTGGGCTGGACTTTTTTTGGACTGAGGTTTTAGGTTTTCAGTTGTGCAACCCCCCCCCCCCCCCCTTCCTTTTTTTTTTTAAAT